GATACACCTGGATTACTACTGTTACTTTATCACGAAAAATTGTGCTCACCTGAATTGCCAAATAAAATTGTCTACTAAACCGGCAGCCCAAAGATACGCGTTCATATGAACCGAGTGACAAATCTAGCAGCTGCTCTGTTGGAAAGTTTTCAGTTTCCCGACTGGAAGTTGTCAGTATTTTTTGCTGCTTGATAGTTTTTCAATACTAATTTAATAGCCAATTGACGGACCCATTTCTTGATATGATACGGTCACCAGAAGTTCGTACCAAAAAAGTGCTGGCTTCACGCGCAGCACCGTCATGCTGGAAGGAACTATTTGGCACTTAGATGATTAATATAGACGTAGTGAATCAAAAAGTTCCAAATTATTTGCCTACACAGATGGAAGATTATGCACACCGTAATGTGTGCGAAGTAGGTAGAGATGGGCGTGGCAAATCGGCAACCGCAGAGCCCAGCCCACAGTATTAATATCAAAATTTCGGGGTTGGGTGGTGTCGGGAAGGTCTTTCAAATTTTTCTTTTCTCAACGCTTCTGATAGAACCCGCAATTCAGAAAATCATCTTCACAATTTTTAGGTGTACTCTGAAAGAATTTCCTAATGGACTGAAAACATACTGTCTTGCTCGGAAAATTATGCTGATCAAAATTGAAAAATGTTCCATCTCTCAATTTGACGGGATATGTTTTCAATCATTTGAAACTATTGACAGTTAGCGCGTCGCACAGTCCGGCCGAATTCCAAAAGTGCGGCCAAAATACGAGAAAATAAAGTTTCTAGATAGGCCTTTTTTGACATTGAGTTGACTAAAGGAATCATCTAAGAAGCGAAAACTGTGCACTGTAACGACCTGTATCCTAAGTCCTCTCTTTATATTCATTTCTAGTGTGACCTTCTCCCAAGCACAACATTTGTAAAAAAAGCCAAAAGTTATTAACGCATAAAGGAGAATAGGAAACCAAACAGGTTGAAGGTTAGTAAAATACTTTAAAAAATTTGTGAAAAGAAATAGTGTAAGAGGCATTTTTAAGAAATAAAAATGTAAAGGAGAAGTACTAAGCTGCGACAAATCTCTTTCGTGTTGACGATTGTCAAATTCGATAATTTGGGTTTGTTGTCGGAAATATTTATGAACATGAAATAATGTTACTCATACGCCATGTGTCTAGGCTTTAAACAAACTTTGAAGCTACTTTAATGAAATTTCTTGATAAAAATAAGCGAAAAGTTGAACATTTTCTGGCAACACTTAAAACTTTTTCCTGCAGGGTAGGTACTACTCAATGTAGGTAGTCTGCTTGTGAAGCTTGTTTTGACTGTCGCAGCGTCGCTTTTTTTATTGTTATTGTTGTGATAAGAAATACGTATGTATATACATATATACATGTATGTCGCAGCGTCAGCACAACATAAACAAATTGAATTTTTACTGCCCATAATAAAGATTAGGTTTGGATTTAACACGAAGTTGTTTTGCGGCAATACTCGCAGTGCAGGATGAAGTCATTTTTATATTCTTATCTGTCGACCAAGTGGCAAGTGGTGGCCATGCAGGCTGTGCCTTTGTATGAAAGTATTTAAAAACAAAAGAAAAAAAAAAAAACGCAGTTATGAGTCTAAATTGCTTAGGCACGCAGCGGTCTAAAAGTTTTTACAGGCTTATGAACGTTAAGCTTAGCGTAGCACGGCTGCCACACCTGTCACGTGTGTTAAATGTACTCGCAGAATGGCGTGGCGCGGTGCTCAACGAGTACATGTACACATTTTTTATGCAGAACAGCAGCGCAATGTGCGAAATTCGCAAAGAATTTTGTTTTTTTTTTATCTGACTTTTTACATTAATATTTTTTTCGATATTTTATTTATTTAAATACATTTCGCTTTTTGTTCGCTTTATGGCTCACTTCTTATTGTCAGTCATTTTTAAATACTTTGCACGTACGTCATAAATTTGTGCTGGCCCCCATTGCGTTGGAAGGTTACTTTTGGTAATGAATAAAAAGTAGCGCTTTCAACCAACAAACACCCACCCACCAGCCGCGTTAGATGTGCGAACTAATAAGGAGAAAAAAAAAACAAAAATGCCTTAAAATAAAAAATAAAATCTCGCCAAAATGATAACAAAGCGTGTCGTTATTTGGTAAGTGCTTGTATACTTTACGCCGGTTTAAAATGCGATTTTTATTATTGCGGCAACTATGGAAGTTTCTTGAGTTGGTCGCTAGTTGAGCGACCAACTCTGTGTATTCATAGCTGAATCACGACAATGAATTGCCCATTTACATGCACACTTACATATGTATGCACTTTGCTTAATAGCTTAATTTTATTTTATACATTACTTATCACGAAAGACATTATTTACAAGGAAATTACATGTCAATTGCTTAGATAACTGAATGTATGATGGTGTAGGCCTCTGTATGATGGTGTGATAGTGACGTGATTTTCCATTGCGGAAAGCTTATAACGATTAAGTGAACATTTTTAACAATGTTATTGTGGCTTATTAACATTTTATTTTTAATATTTTTATTGAGCTTTCTACCACGATTGTTTTTATTAGGAAAAATTGGAAAAGCAACAAAGTCTAAGCGGTAGAAGTTATAGCAGCTATTTCGGAGATCACCACATCTCCTCATCAGACTCCGTTTTTCTAGACTTCAGCAGGGATCGAACCTGCGTAATCGATATTCAAAGTCAGAAACGTTAACCACTGAGCTATTTACATCCCGATATTAAGTTCCCAGACACTTCTGTCGGGAAAATGCATTTCGAAGTTTTGGTCAAAGTCAACTTCTATTATCTGCTAACTGCAACTTCTGTACTTCAGCCTGACTCTATCTCATATGGAAGCGTGGAGGGTTGAGCGAATTACTGTCGTTCTAGTAAATAGAAATTCCTGTCGTTGCATGATTATAGGGTTTGATGAGATAGCATTTGGTGTTAACCAACGACCATCGTTCAAATGCTTTTAAGATCAGCATAGGTTTTTTTACTGCTGTATATTTTGTGCGGCGATAGACCATGCTCCGTTGTCTAGTCTTTGATCATAGCTTGATTGAGGTCTTAAGGTGGCATGAGAGTGAGAGAGAGAGAGTGAAATAAAGAATGGTCAAGTGTATGTAATTTTTGTTGAAAATCCAAATCGAACTCATACTACTAGTCTCATTTTCTATCTGAAACATTTGCATTTTTTCATACCTATACCTATATACATATATGTATTTGCATTTTCCTTATGCTATTTTTAGATACTACAAGAAAATCGTACAGGGTAGCCGCCTACATTTTGGATGAAATTCGGATATGTTGTAGATCATAAAAAAGTAAGTTCGTAGTGTTGTTCACGTTTGTTGAGTTTTTGCAAAAGTTCACAAAATAAAATACATACTTACATACATAAATAAAAAAAAAATAAAAATATTTAAAAAATAAAAAAGTAAACAAAACAATGTATTAGTTATGTAGTAGTGTGATGCGATAAACAGTTCTACAACATATCCGAGTTCATGCATTGTTTGAAATGAAAAATATACCTACATATATTTTATATGTGTATGTACATATATAAAAAATATACTTGTATATACATATCTACTATACAATAAATAAATAATCAAAAAATGTATACTTAACTTCTGAAAAAGACCACACAACAAATAAAAACGAATAATGCGAAAATTATGAAAATATCTTTTACAATAGAGTTAACTCGCATTACTTGCAATTTTTTTTACAAAAAATGTCCAGTTAACTTCCGAATGTGAGTTGAATCTCCACCCTGTACTAAGACCCTTAAATTTCAGTTCAAATTAAAATCAAAAAAAAATTTTACCTTTTAGGTATTTTAACTAAATACTGGTTTCCTTTTCTTTGAGTACTATTTTCACCTGGTTTTTTTCGACAAAATCTTAATGCCAAAGTTTTTGCAGGTGAAAATTAAATACATACATTTTTTTACACAATAAAATTTCCTAAAATTTCTAGCAGTAATTTAAAAATATCTTCCTAGAGTATTATGATTAATAAAATATTACACCCTAATCGCCTATTTTCACCAAACGCTTAATTGCAGTCAAGTGTTCTCTTAAGCTCTGCAAATTTTAAGCATCTCCAGTGTGAGGATTAAACGAAAATATTGAAAATGTTTTAATGCAAAAAGGAGAAGTATGTATTTACTTCGCTCGAATTCTGGTAAAAGTACTTTTCCATTCGATATTTCAATTTCTGAGATTTTGCACTGTTTTGACAAAATATAATGACAAATTCTGACCTCAAAATATGGCTTAGTGGAAAACAACCAGAAAACGATTTTTTCTCGGTGGAAATAGGCTATAAAAGTTGTGTGTAAATCTACTTACATACATACATACCTGTGGCACTTTATTAAAGCAACTTATCTCGAGATAAGACTTTTTCCTCTTAAAGCAATATTTCAATTGTTTCGCAAACATTATTTCAACGATTAATTAGCCATAGGTGTAAATAAGTAAATAAAACAATGAGCTTTTTACTATAAATTTACTAAAAAATATTACAATTTTCAAATGAAGCTTATTATTTTTTAATTAAAAGTCAAACTTTATTATAAAGTCACTTAAGTGGTTTTAATCAAACGCCACAGTTATGTATTTCATAATATTTCTTCAATTTACTTTTAAACACACTTTTAAGCTTTGAATGTATGTAATTTTTGTTTATTTTTATTATTTTTTTTAATATGTAAAAATCCTCGTTGTGGCTTTATATGGCATTAAAGTGCTCTAATCTTAAACTTATTGTATTTGTATGTTGATAAAATTATTCTATTTATTGATATTCTGTAAATATGTTGCCTTTATTTATTGTTTATTTACTCTCAATTTTCTCTAAATATTATGTAATTTCTAAATTTTATTAAGCATTGATTTCTTCAAACCACATTTAAGTGCACAAAATATTTTAATTAACTTTTATTTTTATTTTTTAATATTTCATTACATATACTTCGTAGAACTTCGGTGCTGTTCGTGTCCATCTCCTTCATTGTGCTGATGGTGATCTCACTTGTTTGGCTGCTATTCTACTATATTCAGCGCTTTAGATACCTACAAACGAAGGACCAGCAATCAGTAAGTTCAGAGAAATTTGGAAAAAAATAATAATAATAAAATATCTTTGATTTTTAACACAAATATGTAAAGCGAATTTAATGAAAATAAGCGTTAACTTAAAACCATCATTATCACCACCATCTTGACCGTTATCGTAATATATTTGTATTTAGAATAGAACACTGCGACTTTAAGATCTAATTATTATGCCCCACACATGGACTTATAGCGTCTCTATTAAGACAGTCTTGAGAAATTCTAGTATGAAAATTAAATCTCTAGTTCCTAATGTGGAAACCACCATGGCTTCCTCCACTACAGTGATTATCGACAATACGCTTATCGGTGCTCGGATGCTTCCACAATAATGTTTCTCAAATACATTCTTAGCACTACTGGGTGAGCTGGCGGGTTTAGTAGTTTTTGGCTGAACCTACAAAAAATGCTGATAGTTCTGATCCAGTGGTCGTATTCCGCTCTGATGGTTAATGTAAATTCTGGTACTGACTAATTCCTAATCTTTCATCCCGCCTAAGAATGGGCTTCGTTCAACCTAAAAACGCCTTTTAACTTCTGCCAGTCCTTTACCATTATCAGTACCATTGTCACCACAATTACCTTTACCATTGTTATTACCATTACAGTTTCCATTTTCATTACTATTATCACTACTCATATCAATACCATTATCGTTATCTGAACCATTTTCATTAGCATCACCGCAACCATTACCTTTATTATTACCATTGCCGTAACCAATATCATTACCATTACTATCGTCAGTACCATTACTATTGTCATTACCATTACCGTCACCATATCCATTACCGTTATAATGGCCACTACTATTGTCATTACCATTACTATGCAAATTTCCATTTGCATTACCAGCGCTAAGACCATACCCATTACCATTATCATTACCATAAACAATATCATCACCATTACCACTACCATTACCATTAACACTACCATTGCCATTACAATTACCATTACCATTACCACTACCATTACCATCAACACTACCATTACCTCTACAATTACCACTACCATTACCATTACCATACAAATTTCCATTGCTATTACCAATAATATGGCCATACCCATTACCATTATAATTACCATAAACGATATCATTACCATCACCACTACCACTACCATTTACACTACCACTATTATTACCATTAACACTACCATTACCATTAACACTACCATTACCACTACCATTACCATTACAACTACCACGTCCACAACCACTGCCTCCACAAATTTTTAAAGTTCACTTTATTTTTCACTTCTCTTTTCAGCGTCAATTGTGCTCTGTGACCAAGAAAGCCATCATGAAAATACCTACCAAAACAGGCAAGAGCAGCGATGAAAAGGATTTGGACAGCGATTGTTGCGCCATATGCATTGAGGCATACAAACCATCCGACTGCATACGAGTATTGCCCTGCAAGTAAGTGAAAATGGACACTCAAGTCCTTGCCTACTATACGAGTACATAATACAAAATTTTCAATTTCTACAATTTCTCTCCCCCAACCTTCACTTAGACATGAATTTCACAAAAACTGCATCGATCCATGGCTAATTGAGCACCGCACCTGCCCGATGTGCAAGTTGGACGTGCTGAAATTTTACGGTTTTGTGGTGGGTGATCAAATTCAAACGACGCCTAGTCCACAACACATGCCGCCCAATATCGCCAATTTGGGCGGCGGTGAAAACGATGTGGAAGTCATTGTAGTTGCGCTAGCACCGCCATTTTCGGCGGCACAGCAATCATCGCAAACACGCCAACAACATCATCATCAAACACAAGCCACACATGCTTCAAGTGCAGCAAATAGTGCAGTTGGGCAGCAGCAGCAGCAACAAATGCAAACACAGCTGCCAGCGGCAACGACGACGACGGCGGCGGTGGTGGCGCTGGCGCATGCGCAGCACCAACATACGCACGCTTACACGCATCATTGCATCAATTGCGCTAGTAGTAGTGGTAGTAGTCATAGTCATTGTAATTGTAGCAGTCAAATGCAGGGTGATAAAAATTGTTGCAATCAACAACAGCAGCAGCAGCAGCAACAGTGCAATAGTTGTAACAGTTGTCAGCATAGCTGTGGCCATGCGCACAGCGGCAACACCAACAACGTCGCGTCTGTCGCCACAACGAACATTGTGCGTCGCAATTCAGCGCCTTTGGTGTTGCAAGTGTCCACCGCTAGCCATCAGGTGACGGACGTTTAATTGCACGACGAAGAGCAACCTCCACTACATTCAACGCCAAATAGCAGCGCAGCAGCCAAGTGAACTCGACTTTTTGTTTTGTTTGCGAAATGGCGATTTAAATTTTGAGCTTTTCGTTATTTGCGTGGGGCTGCGCTGCAATGCAACTCATCAAAATATGCACCTACACACATACATATGTATAGATATATTATTGTACGTATGCTACGTTGTACACATCACTACACTGTAAATAATTTTTGCTGTTAATGTGCAACATTTTTATATTTTTATTCGTTTTAAGAATTTTTGTAATATTTAGATTTCTTCCGTTGTTGTCTTAAGTATGCTAAGCGCTTAACGTTAAATGCTAAGTACTAATTGCTAAAAGGTAGGTTTTTAAGAACGTAACTATGTACATTAATATCTAAGTGTATAAGCGAGTAAAAGATTTTGAGACTTCTTAAGGCTTAACGATAACGATTACGTCTAACGATTAACGATTGCAGTATGTGTAGTTGTATAGGTTATGCAAATTGACATATGAGCAGACATTTGCAGGTTCGTTGCTAAGATTTATATGATAAGTGCAGATCGGTTCATAGATATAGATAGCAGTAGTGTGGCAGAGCAAGGGAAAGAAAGAGAGGGAGAGTTGCAAAAAGATTGCCATAAGAACCACCAACGTAACATGAAAATTGTGTCGAATTTTACTTCTGGTTGTCCCCTTAGTTTTTTGTTTGTCAATATCGACGGAGCGGGAGAAAGGCTTTCCTTTTTTTTTAATGTAATGGTTACTTTGTCCAAGCTCAGTTATTTTTTACCTAAAGTTGTGTTTGCAATCTTTTTAAAAAGCAACTAATTGACAATTAAAGACCCCTCTGAAGGCTCATGGTAAAAAATTCCATGCCGGAATACCGGACGTTTCATATATCCACTCAAATACAGAAACGGCGCCCATGAATACCGAGGAAGAACTGAGTACAGAAGGAGCTGTTTGCAGTCGAGATGAACAGCTGACATAATTTCTCATTGGAGACATTTGAAAAGAAGAAGTTTTTTTGTTAGAAATGCCGCGGCCACTAGCTTCCGGTGAGATACTTACAAAGCTCTAATAGCAAAAAGCTTTCATTGTCCTCTCTCCATGGAACCACCGCACTTTCAAAACTATTCCGTGTACTCAAACTAGACAGAATGGGATTCCAGAAAACGACCAATGCCGTAGGTGTAGCGACGACGAGGAAGTCGGGAACACATTCGCTGTCATTACACAGCCTTAGCAACGATATATTTAATCAATACTTTTCTTGTTAACTGTCAGACTTTAGTTTGACGAAAGTTTGCGATTTACAATGATTCATGGATCCTTCCAATTGGTTCTATTTTTTTGGTATGTGGTCAGAATTAACTACAAGCTTACATCTAGAATGTAGGGCAGCCACTACAAACTAATCTTACCTCACTCAAGTGGCCGAGATGGCTTATTGTCAGATCCTTTGATATAAATAAGTTTGAAACAAGCACAAAGCTTTTTTAAGCTTTCTATAAAATTTCTGTGCATGTGCACAGGGTAAAAGCTCTCTCTGATCGTGAGTGATATACATATATGTACTCAATGTACAGTAGTGATGGGCACTTACTTGCCCGCGGGCAAAGCTCTTTTAAGCTTTCTATACATTTTTTATAGGCGCGTGCTGAGTAAAAGCTCTCTGCGCATCGCTGATGTACAGTGATGTTCAAAACAGCGACCGAAGACGGAACTCTTTAAAGCTTTCTAATGGTTTTATATGGGCGCGTGAAGAGTAAAAGCTGTATATGAGCAACACTGAGATCAAGTGATGAGATCATAAAGATTTTACTAAAGAGAAGAGCAGGACATAAAGTACTCAGTCGAACACTAGGAAACTCAAACAGTTTTCAAATTATTCAAGTAAATTAATTAGAGTTGACCACCTCCCAGGAATACATGTTTTTTTAAGTTTTCCAGGGAGAGCTTTTTAAAGCTTTCTGGAGATTTTGTATTAGTGTGGACTAGGTAAGAGCTCACTTTGATCGTCTCTGATATAGACAAAAAAGAGCATATTTACTACGCATCGCTTTCGTTTTGACTACAGGATTTATTTTGCGATGAAGCCTCATTTGTTGAAAAAAAAAAATATTTAAAACAGATAGTGATATTGAGAGTCCACAAAAATATTTCCTGTTTCCAATGAGACCGACAGAGGGTGAATGCTTTCACTGACATAGATGAGCTAGGATCAAAACATATCCCACGGCAGAAGATTTTTAAAGCAATTTGTCGTCTCAGATATGGACAAAAAAGCTGCTTACTAGCTTTTGCATCGCTTTGGTCTTGACTACAGGATTCATTTTGCGACTAAGCCGCATTTGTTGGAAGAAAAGTAGCAGCTAGTGGTATTAAGAGTCTACACAAATTTTTTCTGTTCCCAATGACACCGTTTCCCATTAAATTGGTTAACAAATTTTTCCGCCTAATATGTAAAGTTACTTGAATACTTAAGCTCTCATCGCTAGTAAAGCAAGCGTTACGATCAGCAAAAACAGCTTTCCAAAATTACCTATGAGCCTATACTTTCAATCATAGCCATATAAAAAATTATATTCTAAATACCAACAAAAAAAAACTCTGCAAATGTCTTCCTCAGACAGTATCTTAAAAAGCACACACATATATACATCCGTACACCAGTATGTATGGATATTAAAGTAATATATATATTTAGCTATTTAATTGTTTATAGAAACAAAAAAAAAACAGTTAAATAAATATTTGTAGTTAGTAGCGAAGCAATTGAGTGTGCCGTTAAACACTACAAAATAATACGCTACGGTCGTAATGACTATTGACTAGTCACTTAATAATTAATTAAACAGAAAATAAATAAATTAAAAAATTTTAAGTATTTAAGGTAAATTAGAACAGCAGATATGTGTTACTTAAATTGCAGTTAATATTAGTAAATAAGCCAGTGAAATAACGCAATTGAGCAAAATAATAAAATAAAATGCAGATTGGAAATTTTTCTTCAAATGTACTAACTACTTACATACATATAAAACAGCGTACGATAGATATGCAGATATTTAAAAAAAAAAAATACAGAAAGATATACCAGCATATGATTTACGAAAAATTGTCCAAAACTTTAAATATTTTAAGGTGTTATACATATTTTATTTGTGTGTTTTTTATTATTTACGCGCGTTTATAAGAAATTTAATTCAAGGCATAAAATTATTAGGAATAAAACGAGAAATAAAAGGCAACAAATGAAAACTTTATTTATTGGTTGTTTACTGATTTGCCTGCCGGGAAATTTTTTTTTATGGTAAAAAGCAAAAAATATGTATTGGTAATTTGAGTGCTTTTATTATTTTGTGCAAAATATCGCATTATTATTTTTTTGTGCTTATAATATTGTGAGTAAAAAATAAGACACAAAACTTGATTGGACATTTTTGAGCGGGAAAAAAATTTGCTTTTTCTTTTTTAAGACATTCATAAAATTGAGATTAAAACATACTTTCGTGAGAAGATTCTGCAATAATTTAACAAGTTCGGCAAGTTGCGATACCGATCCGAAAACTGTCGCAAACTGGTTACGGAATTTCCCTACTGGAGGATCCCGAAATGTTCCGAACAAATACTAAAATAGTCCCGTAGAATTGCGAAAAATCCCAAAAGGCCACGAAAACTAAATATACCGGCAAGCCCCGAAAAGTCTCGAGGTCTTAAATCTTCCGACCCAATCGGCAAAAAACATAGCATTTCTCTTTACGAAATTATCTTTCGGAAAAAGACAGGTCCTGAAAAATATTACATCAAATAGAGTCTCGAAATATTCCGTAAAGTCACATAAGGACCATACACGAACAATCCCGAAAAGACTCCCAAAAAATCAGCAACTATACCGAGAATATCTCGAAAGATATATTAATTTAATTTTTTAGAGACTTTTGCCGTGGTGACATGAAGTTTTTTCCCGAGAAGACCCCTAATAAATTTTTTCTAGAATATATCAATCCTCTAACGAACTTCCAAATTTGCTTTTTGAGGGGGTTTCTTAAAGTAAGGGTGAATGCGACCCTTTGAGGCGGGAGCTAATGGGTTAAAATATTTCTCATGAAATTTTACTATATATACATGTATTAACCTTAAACTTCGCTTAGACATTTATTTTTTATAGCTACTTAGGCCCGGACATAAACACTTTAGGAGGCTATAAAATAAAAATACGAGCTGACTTTTGCCAGCCCATCGAGTGTTTTATTACTGGATGTATATTTTTTAAGAAAATATTAGCAAAGTCCGTACTGGCTTGAATTGCCATAAAATGGTCACACAGTGTTATAAATAATTGTGGTTTCTTTTATAACTTTTTTATTCTGTCAATCACTCTGTTGCCCTAATAGCGTAATAAGCAACACCCCGAACCGAATTTCGCCTGATCACTAAGCTGACTCATTTAAGTGAGTCACTAAGTCAACTCTCGAAACTTCTATGTGTTAACCAGTCCTTATAAATTAAAATATTACCACACATTTTATGCTTAAGATATGCTTGAATTTTACACAAATTTGCTGAAAATGGTAGTTGAACCATCAGTAAATGCAAAAATATATCAGCTTTCCCAAGCACTGCTTATTTATGTACGTTAGTGTGCATCACTTTCAATGCAAAAAAAAAATCCGTTAATGTTTTTTCATCAGAATTATAAAATCTATTATATTATGAAACTTATGCCACATGTAATATTTCGAAAAAAATATTAAGATTTACGTGAGCTGGATCGATTTGAAAATTCCTCCAAAATATTTTTTTATAAATAAAATTTGTTTTTATAAATTGTGTTTTTTCTCCAAAAAAGTAGCTTCAGATGTTAAAAAAGTTTGAGCTTAAAAATATTAAAAAAAAAAAATTGTCAACAGAATCAAAATAGGATACAATAGATTGTTTAATTCCGGTGAAAAAAGGCAACCACCCTAATGAACATGGCTAAAAAGCTAGAAACGTTTATTATCTCACTACTGAAGATTATTTCATATGTATGTAAACAAAACCCCGAAAAAAATCACTTCCTTCTGCGCTTGGAACATTTTACTACCATGTGCTTATAGTACTACATAGTAGCTGAATACATTTTCTACTCATGCATATGTATGTAACCAGCTTGAATGATTCATCGCAAGTCAATTGCAACATTGTAAACATAAGCAACTCGATGCCAAACCCACTTAAGCATTATTCTCTTCCCCCCTCCAGTTCCTTGGTAGTGAAGAGAGTATTCTAGAATATGAACCTGATCGTCCAGCCGCAGCCGAAGCGGTCGTCACTAACGCAGCTGCCACTGGAAATCTCGACACCACCAACAGTCCCGCTGGTGTACAACGTGTCGGCGCGCTTGGCGATCTGATGCGTAGTCGTGATTTTGTTATCGATTTCCCGCGTATTTTTGTGCTCGATGCTGGTGGCGTGACAGGCACGCACGAATTCCTATTCCCTTCGCGCTTGCCAGAGCGTTCGCAATCCTCTATTTCGCTGGCGCATGCTAAGGATTGGATGTCCGCCATGACTATCAAATTGGATGAGCAGCATGGATTGCGTCGATTGCGGCGTGGCGTTGCGCGCGATGGCATGGATGAGGTAAGCTTGCGTGTGTACTTTTTCTTGAAATGTTAACTAAACTTTTATATTTCTCTTTTTTCAGAACTTGCTAACCGTATGCGCGGAGGCAGTGAAGAAGCGTCGCTCACGCTCGGCGGATGGTCGCTATTCGAGTAGTCATCAAGCGCGTCAGCAGGCCATGCAGCTGCAGAATGCCCAGGAGGGCCGCGATTCTGATGAGGATGTGCCGCGCGCGGGAGCAACCATATGCGGGAATACGCTGCGTCCCAATTCCAACATTCTGGATTTAACTGATGCTGTTTATGCGCAATCGCGTCTGCGTCAACAACGGGATAACAACTTAGCCCTTCCCGGACGCCATGATACCGTACTGCTGCATACGCGTCGCCGTTCGATAAGACGTAGCAGTGAAGCGGATATACAGTTGCATGAGTTGCCTTATCGTTCACCGGTGACCAGTCAAGGCGATAGTGTAGCGGTTAGTCGTGAATCGTTGCCGCCGCACGATGTGGCCATAACTATTCAAGTCAACGGTGAAGGCATCGAATTGGAATAGAGCTATAGACTGGTTATGCACGCTTTAGAGTAATTAAGGATAATAGATATTCATATAACAAATGTCAGCTAATTTCTGCTGCTAAAGTGTATGAAAAATGTGTTAATTTATGTAAATGCCGTTACTGTTTACATATGTATACATATACATAACATACATTTAGAAATAGTTGTGAAAATATGCGTGCCATGGATGCTTTGAATATCCACAAAAAGAGTAAAAAGCAACTGTAGATTTTAAATAAAACGTTGAACTACGAAAGGAATTTTGATAGCTGATCAACTTCAAAGAAGGTTCTCTACAGTTTTGTATTGTTGCAGTGGCTACTTAACCCTGCTTATCATAGAGTTCAGCTAAAGGTAGGCCCAGCAAACATGTTGTGTCGACGGGGTCGGACCAGCGAGAGAGAGAGGTGTTAGTTGAGTAGGATTGAGTGGGCGTAAGAAGAGGTGACTGGTGTCATGTTGGGAACCTTCACATGCCGGACATATAAGAGTGAAGCCCACTACCGTATCCAAACAGCAATTGAGACAGTTTCTTTTTCATTTTCGTTGTTGCGGCTTCTGCGGAATTTATTATAGGCGTTGCCTAGCCTTCTGATGTGGATGACAATCGGCTAATGACCAGTAATGGGCCGTTTTCATACGAATTTCCTCGCTTTGCTTCACTGTTTGCACTTTAGCAAAAAAGCGTGAAGCAAAGAAGCATACCTTCTGATTGCCAAAGCGCGCAAAATTTGATAGCTGTTCTTGGTTTTGCATCGTTTTGCTTTCCTCCCATTCTACTTATTTAGCAAGACTTGTATAAAATCATGTATGAAACTACTTATCTGTCAAAGCGAAGTTCTGAAGCAAAAGTTGTATGTAAACGGCGTCTAAGAACCGTTTTAGTTTTACAAAATTAGCTCTCGGTTTTCCTTAATGGCATTTTTATACCAGAACCTCATGCGTTAGGCGATACTGCGACCTAGCGCCTCCTACGAATCGATTTCTGGAGATTATGGCAACAATTTTCATTCTACCGATCCGGTCCCCGATTGAAACCAGTGTGGAATCCTCCCTGGCTAACCCATTCGCAGCCACGTTTCCGATAATATTATGATGACCTGCGACCCAAATCAAATCTACTTCGAACTGACTACTAATTCTATTCAAAAGTATTCTGCTCAGCTTGGACTTTGTTGTAGAGAAAGTGAAAGCCATTCTTGCCAGTCGCCTTTATCGTGGCGCATATTACGACACTTTAAAAGGCGACACCTTTCAGCGATTGAAAGTTCTTTTGCCTGCAAACTTCCTACAAAGTTAGGACGATGGATTGATCTTCTTACTGTCAGGGATTCAGAAAAAACGCCAAATTTCTTTTCCAGTGGGTTCTACATAGAAGAAGGGCTCTAAAGTGCATGTGGAATTATATTTTAGGTCGCGCGTAATCCTTGTCCTTGCGTATATTGGATGGGCATCAATAAACTACACTGCTCATTCCCAGTCGTTATTTTTTCCCGTCTACCCGTATACCCAGTGCTCTTAGAACCGTTTTCTCAAGCAAGTTTTAAAATTTATCTGTTACATCATTGACATAGGTGACTAGAGACGTTCCCTACTAAGTTTCCCCATGCACCTTTTCAATTCTCCATAAATCGTTGTGCGGCGAAATATCTCCACTAAGCAAGCGCTGATACACTCTTCGTCGCCAAGATCGTCTAATAAGGAAAGTTTCTATACAGATTTTTTATTCGGAAGTTTTTCTTCAAAATCGATCGTTTTTCAAAATCAGCCTAAAAAGAAACTTAAAGAAAAATAATGTACCTATTCAAATGAAGTGGGGTGTATGTGTATGCCGAGATTGGGACAGCTACACTAGAAAATGTAAAGAACGTAATTACGTAAACGCTGAAAATTGGCTAGACTGACAAAAACTACGGCCACTGTGATTATGGTGACACCTAGCGCTCAACTTTCAAACATGCCAAAAAATCAGCTCCGGTTCAGTGCTGACAAGTTAGCTACATATGTAGTGCCGCCAATTGGTTGCCATCTGAGGTTGTGCGCACAAATAGAGCGCGGCTGCGGCCCCTAGTGACTAATAGTGTAACTATAATATGTACTGGGCTCATCCAGGGTTCGGATGCCCACATACTTGCATGTATGAATGTATATACATACATACATACATGTATGCCCAGTCGGTCCGTGCAGAATGTGGTTCCGAAAATAATGTATTTTTTTATTAATGCATATCAATGGTCCTGTGCAATAACGACACAATTCCAAATTCAAAAAACAAAAAATGTTACTACTGTTAAGTGGCTCTTGTCTCTAATCCTTGTCTAATCCATTTCCATCGCTTACT